TGCAGACGCGCTGGGATGAGTCCGACGTGGCCGGCTCGCATTTCTCACAGGTCGCAGCGCACTGCTCGACCTTGTCCATGCAGCGGCACATCGGCGGGAACGACCTGGTGCACAGAGCAAAGTCGCAACATTTCCATGGCCTCTCTTCTTCTTCCGCCTTCTTCTTCGCCGTTGCAACAGGCTGGGTGCACATGGGCCCGGGGAAGCCATGGTACCAGTCATTGCAGACGCGGCGGGATGAGTCCGACGTGGCCGGCTCGCATTTCTTGCAGGTCGCAGCACACTGCTCGACCATGTCCATGCAGCGGCACATCGGTGGGAATGACTCGGTGCAAATGGCCCGGTCGCAGCACTTCCACGGCCTGGTCGCCATCATTCCTGCTTGGCCTGCAGGTTCTCAGTTAACGAGCCAAGTTGTGATCAGTTTCCTCATTCACAGGCTACGTGAACTGAACTAGGAAAAAAGAAACCGATGTCGTGGTCACCTATGCCTTCGCTCGGCAGGAGAATGGTGCCCACTGTTAGAAGTACACACGTGTTAGTTAGGGATTAGGAGAGATTAATCTCACGACGCCGATCCTAGGACTTCTCACCACTTCCGCAGCGCGCCGCCCCCGGGAAGATTAATCTCTTCTCCTCGGGGGCGCGGCACCCGATCAATCAAAGGTTAGATCGGTCTCGTAGTTTAGATCCAATTTTCAAGTTCTTTATCAGTAGATTAATTTCAGGTTTAGAAATTCTCATTAGATTAGTTTTTCCATTAGCCACCAAAAGAATCCGGCGATCCCTAGATGCAATACGTCCAGCGTAGGCATCCATTCGGATCGCATACGCGGATCTCCCGGCGGCTGCATCTGTATGGACTTCTTCGTCAATCTGATCAAGCCGTCACCGATAAACCAGGAAGCGGCACACTCATGCGGCGCGGCAGGCTCGGGCTCTACATCGCTAAACTGCCTAGCCGCCACACATAGAATCCGATCAGCGCGTTGCTCATGCAGGCGATCTCCACGCCGACGGCGCCCGATGTACTTCACGGGCTGTCTCCGGGCATCAGGAGGGACCATGCACCGGCACCGGGAGGGCGGCCGCTTCCCGATCCACCCAAAACAAGAGGAACATGCCGTCCATGCGTGTTGACAGTACGTGAGCAAAGACGAACCAAGTGCAAATACAATTAACGATCGTCCATGTTCAAGTCTCCATGCAGGTTCACCAGCCTCGTCACGGACTACACACGGACTCCACGATTGATGGTGCACTTCCATTCAGTTTTCCGTCTACGCGACTACGGCACACAGCAGCCGTCTTGTACGCGTACGTGACTCCGACGCACCGGCCGAACTCGTCTACATCGACATTGACCCGCTACTTCTGCATCGAGCCGGCTGACCTGCACCGACTGCACTGTCGCCCACGCAATCTTCGAGCCACGTCCACAAACCGCTGCACCAAGCTATCTTTCGTCAAGCGATCTGCACCAAACCTCATGCCGCGACACCAAGCTAGCTGTACATCTACGGGTACATCGCGCCCAACAAAAAATTCTTCGTCGAGTGCATCTACGAGAAGCGATCACGACTTGCATCATCCACATGCCAGGCCGGTGTGGAGAGAGATGCAATCCTTCTTGACTTCTCCGGCAAGACACGGCATCGACACTTCGTCGCCGCGGAGGAACGCCTTCAAGCGACAGTTTATCGTCGACACGCTGCTGCGACGCCATCGCCGACACTTCATCGCCAAGGTCTTCACAACGTGGTCTTCACCAACATCTTTGTCAACACAGCACCGCTTGCCTTGTTCACAAGATGAAAACCTAGCGTCCTCTGACAGACTTCTGCAAGACGCGACCTCGACAACGGCAATGACCGCGTCACGACGACATCGACCGCGTCATTCACGACGGCATGACTGCATCGACACGGCGTCACTACAATGACGACCCTACACGGCCACATGGTTCTGGCAAAACCTATGTGTGCTCGATGGGTTTCCTTCGGTCTTGGCAAAACCGGTGGACTCATCGCCGACGGCACCCTCTGACATCCGCAAGGTGCATTGTCCACGTCTACAGCTCCATCATAGTGCATTTTTTTTGTGCCTCGGCTTTGTGCGGCTTCATCATCCACGACGACCACACCATCGACCACGGCTACATCATCATGATCGGCTACCTCGACATTAATGGCTACATCTACAGCAACTCATCGACAACAACTCCAGTCAACAGCGTCCGCCTCGTCACTTGCGTCCACGACACTCCCGCTGTGACTGCGGGAGGGAATAGAGGACAAAGCATGAAGGCAACAGAAGGGGACGCAGTCACCACCCTAACTGTCGACCCATCAGAGACGCAGTTGATAATGGCGCAGCGGAGAAGACGACAAAAGAGCAAGACTTCAAATTCAGTCGCAATCGTTCGCTTCACTCACGCTACGACTGAGGGGGAATGTTAGAAGTACACACGTGTTAGTTAGGGATTAGGAGAGATAGAGATATATTTGGTTTAAACCAACCATAACTTGCCTTGTACTCCAATCCTCTCCCCCACGTTGTACTCCTATATATAGCCCATATGAGGGTTAGATCAATATACAACAATCATTCTACAATTTCCACACCCACATCGTCGGCGGCGGTGCTCGTGGAGGGACGGCCGGCGGCGACGAGTGAAAGCATCAGCAGGATGCTAGGAACAACGCATCTCTTCATCGTCTTCATGGCTGGTTACTAAGCTTGCCTGTGCGTTTGAAGCTGCCTAGCTTCCAGCCCGTATATGTAGCCGCGTGACACCCATGGAAAAACCAACGCGTGGCGGGTCACCACTACTTTACTTTCAGATCTGGACACGTAGTGCCACATATGGGTGCTGGACCGTGGTAGGTAGACAGTGTAGACAGTACAGCCACGCATCACGCATGCATGCAGCCATGCAGGCACGAGAAGCACGCCCTCCATTATTTCAACTGCGGCATGGGTACACGTACGAATCAAATGCACTGCATGTGTCCACGCGCCTTTTATTACTTTGTGGCTAATCGATCGTTCGAAAAGCCGGCCCTGCTCAAGGTTTGTTGTTAGCACGTTACCTTGTGTTGTTACATGATTCGGTCTTGTATACTTGTGCTCCTAGATTATACTAGGGAAAAAGTCCAAAACAAACCTTGAAGTTGTAGATGAAAGCTAAATTAAACCCTGAATTTTGAATCCCGAAAATTGGCACTCTGAACTTGTAATCCCGGTCTATTTTGAACCCTAGACCTATTTGGCACACTAGAAATAAGAAAATCCCGGCCGGGATAACCTACTACTCAGAAATTGGGCCGGCCCACTATAACACAACAAGAAATCGTGAACTTTCAAATATATTCGCGCATTTCTAAAAATTTCAGAAGCTAAAAAGTATTCCTGTTTTCTATTTATCACACAAATTCAATTCCTTTTGTGTTTTTAATCTTTTCTGGAATTTAGAAAAATCTATTCGCATTTTAAAAAACTGTTTCTGATTTCAAAAACAATTCTAATTTTTTTTCAGAATTTGAACAGTTTTTCACATGCTATGAAAATGTTTCGGATTTTCAAAAATTGTGTCACATTTTATAAATAATGTTTTTAGAATTTTGTAAATAATGTTTTTAGAAAATGTTTCGAATCATTGTCTAAGGACTCGTCTGGGCCGGCCAACCAGACATGAAGCGAGCTTTTCTTTTCTGAAAGCTGAACAAAAATTTACAAAATAGGAAAGAATTTGGAAATCTGAACAAATTGTAAGAAAATATTTTTTGACATCTAAAAAATATCACAAGTTTAAAAAAATGTGTGGACCAATTCAAACAAATGTTTGTACAATGTATAATAATATTTCTGTGATTCAAACAATGTTTTGTACATTCAAAAAAATGTAGCATTTCAATAATGTTCACATGTTTCAAAAAAAAATGTGTTTGTGACATTTTCAAACAAAAATGTGTGTACAATGTAAAAAAATTGTTTGCGTGTTGTAAAAACTGTGTCTTACACTTAATACAATATACTTAGCATGTGTTTGAAAAAAGTGTCTACAAATTCAAAAATTTTGAACTATGCGAAAGAGTGTTCGTTTAGTTTTATAAAATGTTTATTGTCACTAAAAAATGTAAACATGTATTTGGAAAAAATATAACCATGTATTCAAAAAAAGTTGAAAACATTTAATTTAAAAATGTACATAATGTATTTGAAACTATCAAAAGATTATCAAAAAATATTTTATGTGTGCGCTAAAAGTGAACATTGGGTACGAAGAAAAAATAGACATGTGTAAAAAAGGAAAAAAAGAAAAAGAAAAACAACATAGAAAACCCAGAGCAGTGCGCGCGCGGGAGCGACGCCGCTAATGGGCCAGCCCAATTCATCAAATACCGGTTAAGTCCTCTCAAGGTCTAAAATAGACCGGGATAAGAGAGTTTAGTGTGCTGATTTCAGGGATTGAGAGTTCAGGGTTTGATTTAGCTTTCGTTGACAAATTCAAGGTTTGTTTTGGACTTTTTCCTTATACTAGCCACACCCAAGGCCTGCGTGCCTGACTTCTCGGGTCGCTTGCATCTCTTCTCTCTCGAATACATATGTGTATCTGTGGTAACAATTCACTTAAGAAAAAAAATAATCTCTACAACTTGATATCAAAGCCCATGCATCACCTTTTATGGCCGGACACTGACATCGTGTTTGGCAATATTTGGAAAAGAGAAAGAGAGTTTAGAGTAAGGAGTTGTGTTGAGATTAGACATGAGATGAGTCGTTTTATTCCCAATCCTCTGTTTGATGCATGATAGAAATTTTGTGTGATAATATGAGGAGAAACTGTACGTCCTTGTTTGGTTCGTGGGAATTGACATGAGACTAGACAAGGAAAGTTAGGATGAAGGGTTAAGACTGACTTACTAAAACAATTTCCTTCTAACTCCCACCACCCCCTCTCCTATTAATAAAACAGTGGGAGTTGAAGTCTCAAGACTCATGCTTATTCACTTGTGAATTCTCAATCCCTCTAACCA